TTGTTGGTTAAAGGATGCCCTCCTTTAGAAATGTTGCCATCTTTCTCAAAACTTGAAGCTTTAAAGAGGTTGGATCTTACAGACACAAAAATCAAGAATCTCCCTCGTGGGATGGAAAGGTTAGTAAATCTCAATTTTCTTCATCTGGATGTGGAAGAAGTCCCCAGTGGAATATTATCAAAATTATCATGCTTGCGAGACTTGGTGATAGTTGATAATGATAAACCGCATCAAGCATGCGTCAAAGGAGATGAGATAGGTGAGTTAAGGAAGTTGGAGTACTTTAGAGGGAGGTTTTATGACTTGAATGAATTGAATACTTTTGTGCAAGCTTTGCAGAGTCGAGGACAAGGGCTTATTGGATACCACATTGGTGTGGGTGATGAAAAAGTCTACAGTCAGCATAAATGGGATAAACACATTGAATTAGATGGTTGTAAAATCTGTAGAGATGGTGTTGAGTTCCCTTCCGATCTGCAGCAATTGAGCATTAACCACGGCATTATTGATTTCCCTGAAAAGGAGGCGTTTCTTCCATGGTTTATCTCAGCGCCAAACAGCATGTTTTCTTTTCTTAAAGAAATTTATATATTTGAATGTGAAAAAATAAAAAAGTTGTTCACGAAGAGTTGGGTGCTAAGGAACGTCCCGAATTTGGAAGTGCTAACTGTCTGGGGATGTAACCGAATGAAGGAAATAATAGCATCAGAAATGGAATTGGTTGAAGAAGAAGGAATGGGTGGTATTAAGAGTAATACCATCCAATTTACTCTTCCCAAATTAAGGATATTGAAATTGTTGTATTTAGGACAACTGAGAAGTATTTGTAGTGCAAATAGAGTTATGGTTTGTGATTCTCTTGTAGAGATTATTATCCATTGCTGTCCAAAATTACAGAGGATCCCTCTGTATCTTTGCCTGCATGATGATGGCCAACCATCTCCTCCTCCTTCTCTTAAAGGATTGGCTATAACTTCAAAGGAATATTGGGAGTCACTGAAGTGGGACCATCCCAATGCCAAGTCTCTATTTAAGCCAAAGTTTTTAAGCTGGAGCCTCTGATCTGTATATCTCTCTCCTTATTTAAGACTGACAACAATGGTATGTAACTCAACAAATTAAGCATCTCTCCTTTTTTTATATTTCTTATGTCATGTTAATTGATTTCGAGCATCTCTCTCCCTTGATCGTTTATTCAATTAGTGGTGGGAATCATGAGATGCTCCTATTGCTACCATCAAAAGCAAGTAGCCACATCTGTTTGTTGATGGGTTAGTAGGCATCGAGTGGTGCGTTTCAATTTTAAATATAATCATACACTATAGGCGGTCAGATTATTAATATTTCGTTTAGTCTATCAAGGGAAAAGCATCTATCTTGTCTGTTAGCCCTTTAGTTTATTATCTCAATGATTATGATATATCTTTCGCTTGCCAATTGAAGGTAATTGCAATAGCAGTTCCCTTTGTGCTTCTGTAATTGAGCACAAATTCACTACAATCTGAAATTTTAATCAGAATTTTGTGCTTTGTTTGGCGTCACAAATGCAGCTTGATTGCAATCCCATACGAGATATTGTTAAGGTGTAGCATGCCTGTGTGCATGATTGTCAACAACACAGTCGTGGCCTAGGTTTTCTCCCAAATTGAGCACAAGTTTGATCCGATGTATGCCAAACAAGCCTTCATTCATTAGCATGCAAGTGAAGGAACGAAGGCAGGTGAATTCTTAGGAAGCCGGGAAGATCTTGCCGCTCTCAAGAATAACTATGAGGAAGTTGGAGCGGAAGGTGTCAAAAGGGGAGAAGGGAAAGATTACTAAACATATGTTTCATGAAGCAGCAGCTAATGGTCTACTCCTTTCATGATCTTGTTTTCTGTTTATTGTTGTAATTTTGTGCATGTGCTTCATAGCCTGAATTGTCTCTCTTTTTATGTCAAGTGAGTGGTTGTTTTCAATTACATTTGCGAGAATTTGGAGTTCAGTGTGTTCCAATGAGATGAATCTCTTGCAATGTCTATTAGAATTTTGTTCCTTAGCTCTTCCCAGGACAAGGAATTTAAAACCATGTTCAAGATCCAATCTTTTACTCAAGTGATTATTGTGGAATTTGTCCACAGTGTCACTAAAAAAAAGGAATTAAAGACTTTGGATAGCATAATAAAATTACCTTTCAAAAAAAGAAACAAAAAAAAAAAAACCGAAACTACTTTATAGCTCTGTTCGTAATTTATAAATGGAATAGGACTGTTTCCCAATTTCCTTGAGTCACTGATTGAAGAAAAGAAAAGCAAATTTTACAACATTAATTTTGCACACATGTTTCTTAGACCATGAAAAAGATGGATAGCAAAATTAAATACGCTATAAGTAACATGACAACACTTTAAGCCGCAATATGCAATAATCCCAATGTTGCATACAATATTAGTAATAAAACTTCATTGTCTTAGAATTAATCATTTTTCTGCTTTTCTTAATCCATTGACTCAGCTCTTTAATTCGAGCACTAAACCATTTTTTTAATCTAAATTTTGTTAATCCATTGACTCAGTTTAAATTTGTTTGGTCGAAGATAATGGGAGTATGACATTTATTATATAAATTTTTAATCTTTGAACATTAAGTTTTCCTTCTTAATTGCCACGCCATGCTTGGAGGGGTCTCTTGGACTTTAAGAAAGAGGACAGCGAAGAGTTCTATCTCATAACTTATTTATGAGATAATCAACTTATAATTGACTGTGAAATCAAATATTAAATTTGTTATAATAGATCAGCCTACATGTTACTCCCAAGAGAATTCGAATCTTACTTTTGACAATTTTGTTAGTGCTACCAAGACAAAAAATAGCCCAGTTTGTAATTTATAAATGGAAGTTTGTTGATAGTCGGAGTGATCTCAATTTCTTTCAGTCACTGATTGAAGGGAAGGAGAGCAAATTTTACAACATTTGGCGATCCTAAGCCCTAATATACAATTTGCTTTCGAAACGTTTGAATTCTTAAAAGCTGATGAGTGTTGTGATATAAGGCCAAAATCAGCAAACATATTGGTTGATTTCATAAACATCCATTTGACAGCAATTACTTGCCAACACATGAGAAGAACATATTGTCATTTAAGCTGATCAGCTTATTCCTTTAAGCTGCCATACACAGTTCGCCTCCTCCTGATTTTTTTAACTGGCAATTTGCCAGTTTTATTGCCAAACTCCACAAAATGGAGGCTGTTAATCTCTTCCCCGAGTTGAGAATGGACTACCATCTCCTCCTACTACTTTTGGGGGCTCAGTAGCGTTGTTTCTAATTATATGTCACTATTTGGCCAAAAAATATTATGTAACAGTGCATCAATATCTTTACCAAATGATTTTCATTGCCATCTTGTGCCTTATATTTCTCTACATTTCTCAGGTCTGGTAATCTGATATGGCTTGTTAACTGGAAAAATCAATCAAGGAATTAACAACTTGGTTAACTTATCGGAAAACTGCTAATATAAAGTGTGATGCTGAAGCTCCCTCAAACAACAGAGCACTTCGTTTCCTGTCTCCTTATAAACTAGACTGAATTCATTAGATTACAACCTATATCATTTGAGCATTCTCAAATCTTTCTATATCAGCAACAAGAAAAGAATTCAAGACTGGGGTACTTAATTTTCAATTTTCAGGTTGGACTAACTCTCTTTCTAAATTATAAATTCTGATTAATGTAGTAAGTTTATTACAGAACACTTAGAAGTTGAATCTCTCATACAAATTTGTATTATGTAGATAAATATCTCAAATAATTAACAGTAACATAAGCTGTCTTAGTCAAGAAAACCCTTCATAAGAGTGTTAGTGCGTGTGACAGATAGGAAGTGAGGTCAATAATGGAGAAGTGGGAAAAGTGATTCCGTCAGAAAAGACAATCCAATTACTGCCCCATAATCCACTTATGCCTCTCTCTTTCTCTAACTATTTAATATTTTATTTCGCCACAAGCACAGTGGATGAACTTTAATTGCTTCATCTGTCCTTTCTGCTCAATTTGCACCTAACTTTTCTTTTGACAAAGTAATTTAATTGCATAAATTATATCCTGGATTCTTCTAGGGTGCTTTCTTTTTCCTAAGCACTTATAGTAGCTTAGGTTATTGTGTCTTTAAGAAAAATGAAGCAGTATTCGCTCTCATTTTTTCATCTCTATATTATTTTAAACTAGCTTTAAGGGAAGTGACCGCGAAACCAATGTCATGACTTGTCATTGTTGTGAAACAGAAGACAAGAAAGGGCAATTCATATTTGCATTATTGTGAAACAGCTCCAAGGAAAGTGACTTTGCATTGACTTGCCCACTTTAAACTCTTTTTTTCCTTCATAATTCATTAGTTCTCTTCTCACAGAGGATTAGGATTTTTTTCTTCTTGCAAGGAGATCATCTGCTTGTTGCTACTATTTGCTTGGCTGTGCCTATTTTCCAAATTTTCTAAAATATTCTGGGATAGAAGTATCAATTCACTGAATCAGGTAAACTGTTTATGCGTACCATATATTTTTATCTTTGGTAACATTAATTAATCAGAATTTTTACCTTATATCATAAATTCATCTTACCTTAAGTTTCATATAAATATTTTGGATTTTTTCTTCCTTGTCCTTGTAAATTTTCTTGTCTAACACTACTGAGTTTCCTTGATAATTATATGTGAGCTAGTTTCTTCTGCTTAGAAAGTTTGTGCTTAACAAGAAGGCAAGGAGGTTTGTAGATCATTTTATTTTATTTTATTTATTAAGCCATGAAATTGTGTATTTAATAAAAGAGAGGTTACAAAATTCTATAACCCCAAAAAGATAAAACATATCTCTATTAGGACTCATTGCCCTTATGCAAAAACAAAATATACTCTCTTTATAAAATATTTTCTAGCAATTTCAATTCAAAATCTCTAGCAAACATGCTTAACAATTATCCCAATTTTAAACACAACAAAGCTATGAACCACCATAAAACCCATCAAAGTTTCTTCTTCTTGAACCCATCATCTTAACCAATCCGATGTAACCCATCAACACAGGTATCTCCATCGTAGCACACGTTTCAAACCAAGTCATCACCAGAAAACATTTAGTTACTAGTTTATCATGCTAATTGCAATGGTCAGCAAAATTGCTGTTTATTATCTTTGAAAATTCCAAGATTCACCATCCAAAAGGCATAAGACACAAAAAACGCGACGGCCGACCAAATAATTTGAGCTTTTTCGTTCCAAATAATTTGAAGAAGAAACCAGGTATCTTGAATGTAATTCGACTCTCTTAGTTTTTTTTCAACAATTATTTCTTAAATGTCTTTTTTTTGGGATATATTGTTCTTTTCATAGGTTTTCTTGTTTAAATTATCTTAGTAAAACAGATATATGACAAGCTTGTTGTTTTCTCAATCTTCGTTACTCATATAGAGATTATATTAATCCTTCATTAAAAATATTAATTTATGGCTCTTTAATGTTTATAGTTATTGGAAATTGGCTTTTTTCCCCTCCTTTTATTAATGCTGTAATTATTTAAGAATTTGTGATGGTTATCTACAGGAAAGAAAAGGAAATAAATCATTTATTATCAGTCTTTGAACCTCTGTTCACTACTTCTCGGCTCTGGTTAGGATCAGAGACAGTCAGGACAGGTACTTTCAACATCCCAAATCTGTTCCTTTTTATTCTCATTAACAGCAAAAAAGTTTGTTTGCTTTGTTATATTATTGAAAATTGCAAAGACAGAAGAGTATCTCAACATATCCACACCAGGCGGTTTAATAATTTTTGAAGATAAAAAAAACACCAGGCGGTTTAATTCTTGGAATATAGAAAGAACAATAATCTGTCATTCATTTGAAAGTTTGTTTTCATGTGTGTGTGTTCATCATTTTGATGATATATAAGAACATGCTTTTCACTTCTGGACTGATTTTCTTCCTTGTTTAGGAGTCTATACATTTATAAAAACTATATATTTTGATTCACATCTTTGATATCCAACTTGTCGTAAATGTAATCTCCTTACACGTATATATCAAAGAAAACGATGCTGCTAGCAACTACGTGCATAAAATCTACCAAAATATATTATAATGTACCATCTGGTTTTATGTAGGGAAGTGCAGCCATGGATTTTTTTCTTAATAAGCTTGATAAACACTTGGACAACAATAGAAGCCTTGACCAGAACATGAATGACCTAAAAAGAAAATTGGAGAATTTAAATGCCTTGAAGGAGGACACTGATTCAAAAATGAGTGCAGAGCTGCAACCGAGGAAGAAACTCAAGAAGCAAGTTGATCTATGGTTGGAAACTGTTGAAAGAATAAATGGTGAGATAGAAAGTCTTGAACAAAGAGTTGCACAAAGCAGTACCATCTCACGTGGATTTCACACGGCAAATGTTTTAAAAAAGATACAAGACGTTGAGGATCTTCTTCAACAGGGTAAGTTTGATCAAGGTTTGGTGGTCGATGACCTTACGCAGATTGGACAAGCTTTGACAACAACAACTTTAGTTGGGCAAGCTGCAGAGATCTGTAAGAAAGAAATTTGGACATGCTTGATGGATGATGATATTGGAAAGATTGGTGTTTGGGGAATGGGAGGGATTGGTAAAACAACAATCATGAAGATCATCAACAACCAACTTTTAGAAGAGACTCAAAAGTTCAACATTGTGATATGGGTCACCGTATCAAAGGAGATGAACGTCTCCAAAATTCAGAAAGGTATCTTACGTGCAATTGGAGAAGACCTTTATGAAGATGAGGAGGAAGCAATAAGGGCAGGGAAGCTATACAAAAGGTTGATTAAAAAAGGCAGGTATGCGTTAATCTTAGATGATCTATGGGACAAACTATCTCTTGAAGAAGTAGGAATCCCTGAACCTTGTAACGGGAGTAAGTTAGTGATAACAACTCGGAAGTTGGATGTGTGTCGCTATTTGGATTGTCAAGAAGTTAAAATGCGCACTCTTCTAGAACATGATGCATGGAGTTTGTTCTTGGAGAAAGTAGGTAGGGATATTTTGAATTATCCAAATCTGTTACCAATTGTGGAATCTGTTGTTGAGCAATGTGCTGGTTTGTCATTAGCTATAGTTACAGTGGCTAGCAGTATGAAGGGCATAAGGAGCATTCATGAATGGAGGAATGCACTAAATGAATTAAGTAGACCAGTAAAAAGTGTGACTGGGTTAGATGAAAAGGTTTTTCAGCAACTGCAGTTTAGCTATGATCATTTAAAAGATGAAAAAGTCCAGCATTGCTTCCTCTGTTGTGCATTATATCCTGAAGATTGGAATATCTCTGAATTTGCACTAATAAGACTTTGGATAGCTGAAGGGCTTGTGGAAGAAATGGATAGCCAGCAAGCAGAGTTTGATCAGGGGCGTACGATACTGAATAAACTCAAAAATAATTGCTTGTTAGAAAATGGTGAATATACTAGGTATGTGAAGCTGCATGACCTTGTGAGAGACATGGCACTACGCTTCACGAGAGTAAAACCACGCTTCTTGGTAAAAACCGGCATGCAATTGAAAGAGATACCACATCAGCAAGAATGGACTGAAGATTTAGAAAAGGTTTCATTGAAATTTAATAAGTTTATGCAAATTCCATCACAAATGTCACCACCAAGATGCCAAATCCTCACAACTTTATTGCTGTCCCATTGCTTAATAGAGAGTATTCCAGATTGTTTCTTTGACCAAATGAAGGGACTCAAAGTTCTTGACCTTTCTGGGAATAACTTTAGAAATTTGCCACGTTCCATCTCTAATTTGAAAGCTCTCATTGTATTATTGGTTAAAAAATGCCCTCCTTTAGAAAAGGTGCCATCTTTCTCAAAACTTGAAGCTTTAAAGAGGTTGGATCTTGCATGCACAAAACTTAAGAATCTCCCGCATGGGATGCAAAGGGTGGTAAATCTCATTTATCTTCGTCTTGATATCGAAGAAGTCCCCAGTGGAATATTATCAAAATTCTCATGCCTGCGACACTTGGTGGTAAGAAATGCATTTGTCAAAGGAGAAGAGATAGGCCAGCTAAAGAAGTTGGAGTTCTTTGAAGGGAGTTTTTATGATTTGAATGAATTTAGTACTTATTTGCAAGCTTTGCATGGTCGAAGACAACAGCTTTTTCGATACCAGATTGGTATGAGTCATTGTCGACGACCAAGGGCTCCAAGACTTAGTTGGAAGAAAACCATTGAATTAGAAGGTTGTAAAATTTATAGAGTTGGCGTTACCTTCCCATCAGATCTTCAGCAATTGAATATTGTTGGCGGTATTGTTGATTTTCCCGAAGAAGAGGTATTTTTTTCGTGGTTTATCCCAACGCCAAAGGGCATGTTTTCTTCTCTTAAAGAACTTAATTTATTTGAATGTAACAAAATAAAAAAGCTGTTCTCATGTAGTTGGGTGCTGAGGAACGTCCAAAATCTGGAAGTGTTACGCATTCAGTTCTGTGTCCAAATGGAGGAAATAATAGCATCAGAAATCGAATTTGTTGAAGAAGAAGGAATGGGTGGTAGTAACAGTAATACCATCCATTTTACTCTTCCCAAATTAAGGATATTGCAATTGTGCTTTTTAGGGCAACTGAAAAGCATTTGTAGTGCAAATGGAGTAATGATTTGTGATTCTCTTGAAAGTATAGTTATCGAACATTGTTCAAGATTACAACGGATTCCTTTGTATCTTCCACCGCTTGATGGTGGCCAACCATCTGTTCCTCCTCTTGTGCGAATCGTTAAATCTTCAAAGGAATTTTGGGAATCGGTGAAGTGGGACCATCCCAATGCAAAGTCTCGATTTAAGCCAATATTTACGAGCTAGAGCTGCTGATTTATACATCTCTCTCCTTATTTGCCTGACAACAATGGTATGTACCTCAACAAAGCATCTCTCTTGTTTATGTTTCTTATATTATGTTAATTGATTTCAAGCATCTATGATGTCTGTAAACCCTTTAGTTTGTTATCTGAATGATTGTGACACATCTTTTGCTCCAATATTTTAACAGGTTTAAGGTTCGATTTCCAATTATAAGTATCTGCTACGACAGCTCCCTTCCTGCTTCTGTGATTGAGAACAAACAATCTGGATTTCTCCCAAATTGACAACAAGTTAATTTGATCCACCAGACAAGCATTCATTCATTAGTATGTAAGTAAAGGAATGAAGGCACGTGAATTCACAGAAACCTGTAAAGATCTTGCTGCTTTGAAGAAAGACTATGAGGAAGTTGGAGTTGAAGGTGTCAAAGAGGAAGAAGGGAAGATTACTAAATATCTGTTTCATGAAGCAGCAACGAATGGTCCACTCTATTCCTCATCTCATTTTACTTTCATCAACTGTTCGTTGTTGTAAATTTGTGCATGTGCTTCATCTCTTGAGTTGCCTCTCTTTCTATGTCCAGTGATTTGATTTTCAAGTATAGTTGTGATAATTTGAAGTTTTGTTTTTCCCGATGAGATGAATTCATTTCAATGTCTATTAGAATCTTGTTACTTTGCTCTTCTCTGGGCAAGGAATTTAAAACCATGTTCGACGTCCAATTCTGCTTGTGTAGTTTATATAGAAAGGGAAAGAAAGAGTATAGAGGGGAGTTCTGCCTCACAACTTATTTATGAGATAATCAGCTTATAATTGACTCCGAAATCAAATATCACACTTGTCATAACATAATTGTTTGAAGCATACTGTCTAGCCTCCAAATCAGCATACTTTTTACTCCAAAGGAAATTCAAATCTTACTTTGACTATTTTGTTAGTGCAACTAGTTGTTTGTAATTTATAAATGGAATTTTGTTGATAGTTGGAAAAGAGAGCAAATTGTACAACATTTGGTGATCCTAAGCTTTAATATGTAATTATTTAGTTATGGAACTTTTGGATTCTTTAAAGCTGATGAGTCCGGTGATATAAGGCCAAAATCAGCAAAAACCTGAATGTAATAGATAAGATGAAGAAAGCACTTGGAAATGTTTATGCCAACAAGTGATTGGAATATCATAATTAGGGATAAAGGCAATAATTAAGATGGAGAAGCTTTCTCTCCTTTGATCATTCTAAGGAATTAGTCATTATTGTCAAAGAGTAGAGTAGATATAGTCTACGAAGAGCATTGAGTTTGTTTTCTAATGAAACCATGCTTGAATCTTGTGATTACTTAGGTGAATTAATGAAAATTGATCACTCAATTGGATTTCACTTCTTGATTTGTTTCAAACATATTGGTTGATTTCATAAACATCCATTTGACAGCAATTACTTGTCAGAACATAAGAACATATTGTCATTTAAGCTGATCAGCTTATTGTTCTAAGCTGCCAACAGTGCCATCTTTAGGGTAAAGCCATCAAAGCGAAAGCTTTAGGTCCAAAATTTTTATAGATCTTAAAATTTTATAATAATAATAATAATAATAATAAATTAATTATATTAAAAAATACAAAAATTAAGATAGTTAATAAAATATCTACCTATTCTATCATACCTAATCAATATCTATTTTTTCTCACCTCCACATCTCTATTAATGCCAACTATTTATCTTATTTCCCAAAATATACAAAAGTCAAAATAATTAATAAAATGATATATTGCCTTACTTTTATAATTATGTACTTAATAAATCTCAATTTTGTATTACTTCCCAATCCTCATAATACTATTAGTTCTCAACTATTTCTCCTATTACCAATCAACTAAGGATAATATGTATTTAATTATTTCCAACCGTTATTTTTTTTCTTATACATAAAACCAATTTTTTTTTCAATTTAGAATATATTCTTATGAATTTTCATTCCTCATTGGCTCTTTCTTCCTTAACTTCAATAAGAGAAAAACCTCATTTTCTTAATTTCAATAAAAATACAAATATTTAATTTTAAACTTCTAACGTTATTGAGCCCCTATTGACTGCCGTACATAGTTTTGTCCCTTTCTGAGCTTTTAGCTTGCCACTTTTGTTGCCAAAATCCACAAAATTGAGGCTGATCCCCTAGTTGAGAATGGACTACCATCTCCTCCTACGTTTGGAGGCTCAATAGTGTTGTCTTTAATTATCTGTCACTATTTTACCAAAAACAATTATGTAACACTGCATCAGTACCTTTGCCAAATGATTTTCATTGTCATCCTGTATCTTAAATTTCTATATAATTTTGGATTAGTCACATTTAGAACCTTAAAAGTTTGAATTCCATTTCTCAAGTCCAGTAATCTGATATGGCTTGTTACTGGAAAATCAATCAAGGAACTAACAACCTGGTTAACTAATTGGAAAACTGCTAATATGAAGTATGATGCTGAAGCTCCATCAAACAACAGGGCACTTCGTTTCCTGTCTCCTTAAAAAATGGACTGAATTTATTACATCACAACCTATTTCGTTTTGAGCATTGTCAAAGCTTTCTATATCAGCAACAAGAAAAGAATTCAAGACTGGGTCACATTAATTTTGAGTTTTCAGGTTGGATTAATTCTCTTCTCAAATTATAAATTCAGATTAATGTAGTAAGTTAATTACAGAACAATTGGAAGGGGTATTTGTAATACAGGATAGCATAATTTAGATAAATATCTTAAAGAATTAAAAGTAACGTCCGTTGATACCAGTGTTAGTACGTGTGAAAGATAGGAAGATAGGTCAATAATGGAGAAGTAGGAAATGTGATTCTGTGAGACATGATAATCCAATCACTGCCCCATAATCCGCTTATGCCTCCCTCTTTCTCTTAACTTTTTCATATTTTATTTCACCACAAACACAATGGATGAACTTTAATTGCTTCGTCTTTCCTTCTGCTTAATTTGCACCTAACTTCTCTTTTGACAAAGTAATTTAATTGCATCTTGGATTCTTCTCGGGTGCTTTCTTTTTCCAAAGCAATTATAGCAGCATAGGTTATTGTGCTGAGAAAAATGAAGCAGTATTCACTCTCACTTTTTCATCTTTATATTATTTATATTTTCTTTATTTTAAAGCAGCTTTAAGGGAAATGACCCTGGAACCAATGTCATGACTTGCATTGTTGTGAAGCAGAAGACAAAAAAGGGCAGCTCCTATTTGCATTACTGTGAAACAGCTTCAAGGAAAGTGACTCTCAACTTCTGCGATCACTTTCCATTGACTTGCCCATTTTGAATTCGTTTTTGCTTCATAATTCATTGCTTCTCTTCTCATAGAGGATTACGATATTTTTGCACGGAGATCATCTGCTTGTTGCTACTATTTGCTTGACTGTGCCTCTTTTCCAAATTTAGTAAAGATACTCAGAAATAGAAGTATCAATTCACTGAATCAGAATTTTGGATTATTCTTCTTTTTCCTTGTGAATTTTCCTGTCAACACTACTAGTTCTGAAGACCTTTGCACATAAGGTTTTCACTCTATCAATACTACTGGTTTTCCTTGTTAATTATATTTCAGTTTCTTCTGCTTAGAAAGTTTGTGCTTAACAAGGAGACAAGGAGGTCTGTGGATCACTTTAATTGACATTTGGGCATCTTCTTTCCAAATAATTTGAGCAAGATATCAGGTATCTTGAATGTCATTCTACTCTCCTAATTTTTTTTTCTATAATTATTTCCTAAGTGTCTTTTTTGGGATTTCTTTTAATAAGTTTTCTTGTTTTATTCATCTTATCAAAAAGATACATCACAAGTTTGTTGTTTTCATAGGCTTGCTTACATATATATAGATTATATTAATCCTTCATGAAAAATATTAATTTCTGGGTCATAGTTATAGAAATTTGGCTTTTTTTCCCTCCTTTTATTAATGCTGCAATTATTTAAGAACATGTGATGGTTATCTACAAGAAAAAAAGGGAAATAAATCATTTATTATCGGTTTTTGAACCTCTGTTCACTACTTCTCTGCTCTGGTTGGGATCAGAGACAGTCGGGACAGGTACTTTCAACAGCCCATATCTGTTCCTTTTGATTGTCATCAACAGCAATAAAGTTTGGTTGTTTTGTTATACTATAGAAAATTGCAAAGACAGAAGAGTATCTCAACATATCCACACCAGGCGCTTTAATTCTCTGAATATAGAACCAACAATCATCTGCCATTCATTTGAAAAGTTGTTTTCATGTATTTATGTTCAACATTTTGATGATATTTAATTGCCTACAATTACACTTTAGGACATGCTTTTGACTTCTGGAGTGATTTTCTTCCCTCTTTGGGAGCCTATGCAAATACAAAAAAAAAAAAAAAACCAATATATTTTGATTCACATCTTTGATATCCAACTTGCCTAATTAATATAAGCTACTTACAAGTATGTATCAAAGAAAACAATGCTGCTTCCAAGTTTATTGAGTCTACTTTATTTATAGGTGATATAATTATGTGGACAAAGTCTATCACAATATATTATAATATTATAGTGTACCATTTGGTGTTATGTAGGGACGTGCAACCATGGATATTGCTATGAATACGATTGTTAAACACTGTGACAACCATAGAAGCCTTGACCAGAACATGAAGAATCTAAGAAGAAAATTGAAGAATTTAAATGCCTTGAAGGAAGACACTGAATCAAAAATGAGGGCAGAAATGCAACCGAGGAAGAAACTCAAGAAACAAGTTCATCTATGGTTGGGAAATGTTGAAAGAATAAATGGTGAGATACAAAACCTTGAACAAGAAGTTGAGGAAAGCAGAGCTATCTTACGTGGATTTCACACGGAAAATGTTTTGAAAAAGAAACAAGAAGTTGATGAGCTTCTTCAACAGGGTAAGTTTGATCAAGGTTTGGTAGTCGATGACTGTACGTGGATTGGACAAGCTTTGGCAACAACAACTTTAGTTGGGAAAGCTGCAGAGAACTGTATGGAAGAAATTTGGACATGCTTGATGGATGATGGTATTGGAA